GATATTTATTATTTTTCTCACTCAAACTTAATTACAAAAAGTTTTGTTTTCTATGTTCTTTGAAGTTCAGACTTTGCTCCTATAACGGAAAAACAGTTGAATCGCCAGCGCATCAGGAACGTGCACAAATAATGCTCGACATTTTTTCCATTTCTGTTGCATTTCGTTCCTTCATAAAAGTCTTTGTTTTGCTTTTGCAGTGGCCTTAAAACGAAAGAGGTGTTTGTAATATGAAAATCCATAACGAGGATAAAAACATCTGAAATGTTTCGTTTCTGCTGTCTTGCCTTGTAGTCCGTTCTTTTTACAACTCTGTTTTTTATGTTGTTGTATAAATAAATCTTATGAGAGTTTATATTAGCGTGAAACACTATATAGTTTTAACAGGAACGGATATTATATGGTGCAAAATCTGCTTTCTCTTTGTGTTTCGGATGAAAAAGAGTATTATATTGAGTAATACTACTAAATATTTATCTGAGTTCATAACATTTTTTAAACAGTGAAATTTGTTATATACTTGAAGGAGATAACAAATACTGTATACCAGTAACAAATATTTGCTGATAAGAAAAACATATATATGTTTTAGGGATTTTTTTACTTGTGCTGGATGCACAGTATTATTCATATATTATTTTATTAACTGAAGTAATACTGATATATTAGTATTATCGAATAATTATTATCGAGTATACTAATATTGAAATGAGATTTGAAACTTGACTTAATACAATTTTAAGGTTGGTCGTAAAACTAAACTAAATTATAATTGTATGAAGTCGAATTTCAAATTTCTTATAGATTTATTCTTCAAACAGCACAAAACTCGCATATTTAATACTAAGAATTGCAGTTAATTTATCGTTTTCTCCACTGTGAACGAGCGTGACTAGGTAGAGGATGGATGATCACTTTTAAAGATCGAAACATATGTATGGTACTTTTCACATTTGTCTAAACGTTTATTGGAGTGAAAGTTAGCAGATACAGTTTATGTAAAAGGATAAATCATTTCTGATAGAATGAAAGAAAATACTTAATGGAGAGAAGCAGAATGTGTGCAGTGGCTAATGATATTGTGCTCTATTCTTATCGTGTGCAAGTTATTGTTCTTTGTTCGACAAGGACAAGGAGTAGTAACACCCACACACGATGTGGACTAACTTGTACTATTTGTCGTGCCTAAACTCTGCCTATCTGGAAGGAAACCATCTGACGAAACCCGTGGGAAAGGTGAAAATCGATCGTGGTATTTGTTTCTGATTCTTTCAGAAATAAGTTCTGTTTGAGTCTGTAATAACTGATAAGCGGTTGTAAAGCGAAACTAAATTGATAAATTGATATATTATCTATTATTTTATATAAAATAATGGTACCACAATATTTTTTTCCCAGAAAAATTAAATTTATGTTGGGATCAATGTCGAACGGCCATAACTACAGACTTTAATAATATGTATTTTTAATAACAAATAAAAGTCACAGACACAACTAGTACATGCATAAAATAGCAATGCTTTTTAACTTCGTTTTATTTTCTGTGGTCTTTTTGTTGAGTTTTTAAGAGAGATATTTTAGCAATGCCAAACATTCTCCTCATAGACTACCATATGATCAAAATGACTTTTTGTTCAAACCATTTTTATTCGATTTCGCACTCAAACCAAAGGCGACAAGATTTTTTTAGACCTTAATAAGCGAAACTCGCTGAGACTGAGAAATGGACTTTTTACCAAAAGCATCATCAAAAATTAGAAAGAAACGACGTTTTTTAACAGAAAGCTTTGCAAAATATAGTTGAATTTTCAGGACCGTCCCGATCTCTCCAACTTTAGGCGGAGTCAGTTATAAAATGACATAACTTAGAGCAAAACAAAACGTGTTATAGCACTACACACATTGTAGCTTATCTCAACTTTTTAATACTTACTAAAAATTAAATTTTCAAATATTTCTCAAAATTGGAGAAGAATCACACACCCCTATCTCTCCCGTTCGGGATGGCTCTGTGAACTTTGTCAAAACTCACCTACAGTATAGTATAGCTTTTTCACCGATTTGTGCAAATTTCTTAACAGAACTTTTGTGTACAATTTGTGCAGAAATACCAGGGCTACAAAATGCATATCATCAGATTTTCCACTGGTGCTGTGCCAAGTTTTGTGAGAAAAACAAGTTTGAAAAATGAAAACAGAAAAATTCAATTCCTTTGGCGTTTTCCTCGAAGTTTTTGGAGACAACAAATATCACGATTTTTGTTCAGTTTTCGAGCTCTTTCAAATGAGTCGTTGTTAAAAAAAGCCGCAAGTAAATTCAAACCATAATCGATCGTTTGTTAAAAAATGTCGTTTTTTCCAACTTTCATCATGCTTTTGGTAAAAATTCTATTTCTCAGCGAGTTTCGCCTACTAAGATCTAAAACAATTTCGTCACCTTGGTTCTGAGTGGCGATTGAAGAAAAATGATTTGAACAAAAAGTTATTGTCGTCATATGACAGCGTTTCTCGACGCACTGACAAAAAATGCATCAAGAAAAAATCATAAAGTTTTTTCTACATACACCGACATTTCCGCGAACGACATGAAACCCGATGGAAGTTATTGGTGCATAGTCATTATGTGATACACTTACAGATATACAATTTCGCATCATCAAACCATGTTTTGTGTGAAACTACTTCGAACTCACTCTCATACTGCTAACACACCCACCTCCACGACACACTGCCAAAAATATCCAAATGTGTACTATGAAAAATTCGTGAAAGAGTCAGGGTCTTGTTTGCGGAAATGTCGTGTCACGTTTCTTTTCATAGGCACTCGAACATGAAGTGATTTCAATTAAGAAAGTTATAACTTGACGACGGAAATAAATATTGAAAACGGTTTCCATCAATGAATTCTTCTTTCAATTCTGCACAAAATATTATTAATTTATGGACAATAAAGTTAATTTTTTTTATAGAACACATGAAATACGGGCTCAAAAAATGAGAAAATCGAAAACTCTTGAAAGATTACAATTTCAATAATTCTAATATTTGAATACCAAACTTTCGCAAAAATATCTCTATATGCTCTAGTTATTATGGTAAAAATTGGACCAAAAAATATATTGTCCGACTAGAGCTATTGTAGGGGTAAGTTCAACGGTTCCATGTTTTTTGTATTGAACATTTTCAAAAACTAGACTGTCTCGGAGTAGGCAATCTCAACTGTTTTTTTCTGGTGAATTATCGCGTTTTAAGTTTTTAATCATGGTTCTAAGTGGTATCCGAGATGTGTTACATTTGCTATAATTAACTTAAAATTCTAGTTGGTGAACCCAGAAAAAAGGATTTTCAAAAACCCACAAAGTGTGATCTTTAAATGGCCAATAATAGATATTGATTATCGATTATGATAAGAATAAAGTTCGAAACTTCAGTAAAAATGAAGTTTTTTGCATATATTGTGATATCTATTGTCTGAAAATCTACTTATTACATTAAACTGATCAAGAAAAAAAGATATCATTTATTTTTATGCCATTTTTTATTATCAGTTTTTAAGTTTTTCAAAAGTGCAGTATATTTATTTATTATTGGTATGTGAAGAATAATTTACTAGTATCAGAAAACATTATTATGGTAGTTTTAGAATATCATCGGTTTTAAAAGTTGTGCCCAGGAAAATTTATGAATGTTTCTTATTCATGAACATAAATCCAACATCCTTCTTTTAATTTAAGATTAAATCATTATTAAAAGAGTATGCAAAATTTTCTGAGAATATACAGTATACCTAGTCTAATGTCTCGAGTAGTTTTTAGATATCTCAGTTTGCATGATACCGGGCAGTACTGTAATTGGTTAGAGATGTGAAGAAAACCATTTGCTTCATTCGCTAGAAGTGGTTGACAGAGATGTAACCGGTCGGTCCCGTCAGAAATTTTTGACCGGTCGAGAAAAAAACTTTTTTTCGTCTGAAAAATCAGTAAGGTGTCGGCAATTCTAACTTCAAGTAAAAATTTCATACAGAGCGCAATGAGTTGAGTAAGGAAAATTGTTTTCTGAGTTTTGAAAAAATTTTTTACGGTCGAAAAATCTGAAATACTTGAAGAACCGATTTTTTTTGGAAAAAACCGTTCATTTTCTAAAAATTCAAAGTTTTTTCGATTCAGAGTTCTTTTTCAATTTTTAAACTATATTTTGCGAATAATTCAGCGTTAAAAACTGAATCTAAAAACGATGTTTAAATGAATTCAAACTCAAAATTTGATTGAACCCGGCTTTGGGAATGAGATCATCGAAAATGATGCATGCCTCTCTTGTAAACCTATCTAGCTTTTTGGTCAAGACATAATGCCATTTACTTTGTCGAAACGAATTTGCTGAGCTGAGTAAAACAAGCGTTTTCATATTTCAGATTAATAAAGTTAGTTTGGTTTTCTCTTTTTTGTCAAGAGAGCAGGGGTGGTAATCTTCTCTACTATGTGAATATTTCGTTCGTTTTCTTTTTTAATGTTTGTTACACTACCAGCGGCGCCAAAATACAAGTCCAGTAGTTATGTTTTGAATAACTTGAAGGGAATAAAAGATAGATACTTGTGGTTTTCATCATTCGCTAGCCAAGACCTGAAGCTATGTTTTCATAACCAAAAACTAATTGGAAAAAATTTTGAAGACCGATTTTTCAGGACATCTGTAAAAAACCAGTTCGATTCTCTCAAAACTGCACATAGAAATCTATGGATCTTTTTCATAGGTATATAGCCTGAAGTGTTCTCGACAAAACTGGATCTAAACGACATCTTGAAAATCCATGGTTCGTGAGCTATGGACGGAAGCCAAAAGAAAATATATGACCGGCCGACCCAGCCCGGTCAGAAATTTTTAGACAGATTACCGGTCCGATCGAGAAAACCTGGACGGGTTACATCTATGGCGGTTGGAGCTCTGGTGGGCAAGATTCGACGGGAAACATACCAGTTTTTGTTGAAGGGATAAATAAAACATTTATTCAGTGGAAATATTGAGAGTAATTTTTATAACTAACAATATGATGACGATCTGATACTGTCTTAGAGAGAGTACCGAATTATTCAACATTATTGCTGAATTTCTATATTTTGTTGTTGTTCTCACAGGCGATTTAGATGTTCGGCTTGCTGTTGTGCTAGCTCGTGTTTTTGTCGTACGTGAATGCTTAGTTGGCTTCGTTATCGTCGTTTTCGTAGTTGTCTTTTTTTCGCTTGTTAGAGTTGTCAGCATCTGTTTAGAAGATGTCTCTGAAGGCGGTTCTGGTCTGCTGCGGGTGCTTTCTGTTGGTATGGCTGTTATTATTTCTGGCTGTGTATTGAAGAAGGACGTGAGGGAATGAACTGTGCTTGTTCTTGCAATCAATGAGTGTTCTGAAGTAACGAAATTCTCCGTTGTGTTAGGAATTAAGAAAATGGTTGCTGTAGAATTAACGTTGTTTTCTGTGAATTGTTCGCCGGAAGCCGTTGTACTGAACAACAAAGAAGAACGTTCGTTTGTGAGTGTCGTATCATTAGTGTCTACACTTGCCGAAGACGGTGATACCGTACTGAATGAGTCTGTTATCGAAAATGCCAGTGCTGCTGTGCCACTGTTCGATGAGACTGAATATCCTTGGGTATTTTCTGCACTAAACGGTTGGGTCGTTATGGCCATTGATTCATCGTTCGTTGTCTGCTGAATGTTCAATTGAAATATCAATAGTTGAATAATACGCTGAACGTTATCTACTATTGTTTGACTTAAACAATCATCTTTATTACATAAATAAAAAAGTCTATTTGATACAAAGAATGATGAATTTAGATAATTTTGTAATAAAAGATACGGTAATCCTAAACTACAACCACCTGTTATTGAACAACTTTGTGGACACGTACTATTCATATCACAAAATATCATGTTTGCGGGATCCGGGTCATATAATAGCGGGAATATTTCATTATATATTGTTTCATATAATGTTACACTTATTGTGCGTAGAGTATTTTGAATAAAATCTAAATCACAATAGTCTGATGTCGTACACGTGTAACTATAAAATGATTTAATTGATTTTGGTTCCATTGTCATAAATATGAAACGGGTAGTTGACGAATATTCTTCAAGAAGAGGTCCAGTTTTATTTGAACGAAATGTTATATTTGCTTGTAGTGTATTGTAATCTAGATCGAGGTTAACACGACACTCACTATATAAAATGTCGGCTGATAATGGTGGTAGTGAATCATTTATGTTGATAATGTTAAATGGAACTAGAATTGAATAATCTTTTACACAATAAACCGATTGTACAACAGAGATGATTGTGGAGAATAACGAGAGTAAAAGAAGAACTGATGTCATTTTTTGTTGTATGTTATTGACTTCACAATGTATATATATTGAGATAATACCACTTATTGTCATTTATCAACGAGAAAAAGTGGTACGATTTCAATTCTCTTATCTTAAGAAAATATGACGTTTGTTTGGTCGTTTTAACTACTCTTGAAACAATATATGTTTGTGAGTGCCAAGTGCTTAGTTAAGACATATCAGTATGACGTATATTTTATGGAAGCAAACAAACGTCAATGAAGTCGCATTTTTTAAGTAAAAATCGTTACGATAGATTAGAAAATACGTTGAATTAACTCTTCTTTGCACAATGTAGGCGGACATTGTACTTTAAACAAGTAACATTCATGTTCGATTCACGCACACCAAATTGATTTTGCTATTGCCCAGGATCTGATGTTTCTTATTAATGGAGAAATATTTCACTTTATATCGAACATTCAGCTTTTGTACCAACCTCGAAATCAACCTTTGATAGTAAAAAAATATTGTGAATTTCACTGATAACTATTGTTTCTATAGAACAATTTATTTCATATAAATTTCTTTTTTAAAAAAAAAAGTTTTTTCCGGCCAAAGATGTTTTCTACTTCGGTGCTATCTATTCAACCCAAAACAGTACAAAAATAACTTTTCTAAATCATGATATTTTTCCCATGGATTCACCCTATAACGTTTAAAAACGATCAGTGCACGAAGAAAATCGTACACCTCTGGTTGATTTAGTCGCTGATACATTTGGACCAGAGCTGTAACGGTCTAAAAATAAGAGACCAGAACGAGCCGGTCGATCAAAAACAGTGGAAAGGATCGGGCCCGCCTGCCAATTTTGAAAAATTTTGTAGACTGGTTAGAAAACGACAAAAGATCAGCCGGTTTTGAACAAACTTTTAGACTGGTGAAGAAACGGCGGAAAACCAGCCGGTTTTCAAAGATTTTCTAGACGGACAAGAGGTTAGAAAAACTCATAACCCCATCAAAAATTCTAAGAATTTCAAAACCGGCCAAAAACCGGTCGATTTGAAAATCCTTCTAGACCGACGAAAGATTGATGGAGTCTAAACTTTTACACCGAAATGGACCGGCACCGGCTCGGTTACAACTCTGACTTGGACAATAGAGCAAATAGATCTAGATATGTTACAACTAGATCTATTCCTCTGATTGTCAGTCCAGAAGGTAGTGTCTTGCTTAATCAATAAGAACCGACAAAAGTCAAAATATTGAAGAAAGTATTGGATAAGATGGGGTAAGGTTAGGCAATTATTTATACTTTAATAATGCGCTGCGTAATAGCTAACAAAGGTAACATCATTTTTCGATCTTCAGAGATCTAACCGCTCCAGAAATTTTATCTGTAGTGAGTTTGACTATGTAGAATTTATTTCGGAAGTTTCAGCACGCTATCTCATATGGATCGGGAGAAAATGAATTTGTGAGTTTATCTGTATCATGCAGTAACTGTGAAAAGGAAACGATGAGAAAGTAAAGTACAAATTTTTACTTGTCATACCGTAAAAATAATCTGATAAAGAAAATTGTTGTTAACGAGCGTTAATGAGCTCATATGCATTAGTTGTCAACCCGTGTGAATTTATTAGATTGCTCTTAACGCCTGTGAACGTATTGGATGGCAGATACACATTTTTTATGCATTCAAATGTGTTAAATAACTTCACGCATTTGAATGTATTTACTCTTAATATATTAAAATTTATTCAGGCGAATGAAGGTATTAAATGGTAAAACTGTGCTTTTAACGCGTTCGAACAAGTGAAAATTTTTCGAAAATTACTTACTTCAATAACCAAAGAGCTTGAGCATCCTAGGCTAAATTTTTAGAGTACGTTTAACAAGAGTAACACTATACGTTATTTCTTATTTATCTAAGCTTACCACGTTTAATACTGACATCTTTTTAGCTTGCATTTGATACCAATGGTATAGTTATTAATATCATGTCGGTTATCTTGTTCCGTTCATACCTCTAGTATTTATGCTATTTACTTTAATACCATCTTCAATATATAAGAAAGACCTTGAACCATTTTTGTATTTCAGAAGTAATTAGTGATCTATTGCAGAAACATGCATGAATTCGAAAGCTTTAAATCTATTATTGTCTTTTTTTGTGCGAACTTGTTTTACAGCTTCAAATACTTCATTTCTGTTGTGTGAATGTACATAATCCTGTTTTCTAAAAGTATTTCTTATACTCTATATTGAACTAATTGAACTTTGCCAAGGCAGTACTATTGAACTATTGTCTAGCAATCAACACAATACTATTTCTCTTTGCTGCAATGCGAAATAGCCGTCTTTTAAAATTAAAACTAGTTGGGAGTAATAGGAACCTTTCGTTATCGTGAAATATGCACTGCTCTTTGAATTATAATCCTAACTAAACCGGAATATCTTTCATGAATAGATTTATCTAAATGATTGATATAATTGTAGTGTTAGTCAAAGACTGGAGCGATATTGTCATCTAAGTGTATATCTGGATGAGTTGTATTTAGAGTAAAGATATTTCGGTCACACCTATCATTTTCAAATATGAAATTCGATCGCACTCTTGTCTTTTCGATCGACGTTCAAGTTATCTGATACAGTTCAAACTTCATAACAGCATTTTCCAACTCCGCTACGACCCGAATGAGTGCCATATTCTTGCCTTACTGTCTCCTCCCCACTTACGCTTTCGTTATATCTGGATTTTTGACTCATTCACATACACACACACGGCTTATATTACAAATCAGCTCCTAATGGTTTAGTTATTAATAACGTGCACAAACCACCATTATTTCATAAAGTTATTATAGAATCACTTCCAATTGGGGTTCCATTGAGAAGTATAGAAAGTGCAACAGTAGCTAATAATGCGTTTGCTTCTTTAACTGGATGTCTGTCATCAAATGATACTACTTTATGTTTACAAAGCCTACCTTCTGATGTAATATTACAAGCACAAAGTTTGGCTGAGGGTGCTGATTTATTATTAGAAGCGGATAAACTGACAGCCGGTCAGCCATGGGAACCCACGTTAAACTTAATCGCATTTCCACTGATTTATAATCACGCAAATTTTTTTGCGCAAAATAGTAGTAGAATCAAAATACCAATTTTATTGGGTACAGTTTATGATGAAGGCACATTGTTTATTTATGAGACGCAAACGTCAACAATTAATTATACTGATTTACAAGGATATATTGGCGGTTTATGGAACAAAGAAAATATAATTCCAATCAATCAAGCATATAATATTAATTTTACATTAGGCGCTGATTATCATGATGTATTAAGCCAAATCCTAGGTGATAACGTATTTACTTGTGCAGCACGCTACGTTCTTCAGTCATTAAGTTTATATAATTCAAATTTATATTTGTATGTGTATAATTATTTACCGAACATCAATACAACAGTAGCAGCATATGGTAATTCAAGTGCTGTACCAGAATGTTATACAAAAGTTTGTCATGAATCAGAACTGCCTCTAGTATTTAATTCTGATTTTGTTTTACCGTATAAATTAACTTTGGAAGAACAACATCTAAGTCAATTAATTGGAAAAGCTTTTACAAATTTTGCTAAAACTGGTAATCCAAATTGTCCATTATCGGTGGGAGATGAAAAATGGCCCCGATTCAAGAATACTACAGGACAAAATATTCTTTTAACATTGCCAAAATCATTTATAGAATCAAATCATCGAGGTGCGATATGTGATTTTTGTAATACATTAGGGTATGATTTTTAACATGAAGTTTTCATTATTAAATACAAGCCACGTTTATCGATACTGAGTCTGCGTTATTTAATTCACTGATCCACATTTCCCACTCTCAGTATGTTCTACATTTTTAGATTTGCCATTGCGGATGTATTCACTGCCTCATCTTTATAAAACATGATGTTTGCAAACCTTTTCTATAGAGAGCAAATATTTCTGTGGCTCAGCTAAGTAGCGTGGCTCGGTCGGCTCATGAACAGACAACGTACTTCAAACATACGGAGTTCGAATCTCGGCAACGGCGGTCGTGTGATAGCCTTGGACAAGCTATCTAATGCTCATTGTCTCGGTACCACAGATGCGATGGGGTAACCCGATTTCAGTGGCTATTGGGCTGCAGAGATGAGCTTAAAAGCTAAAAAAAAGAAAATTGAATGTTTTCAAAAAAGAATTTCAATCACAGGACGACCACATATGAACGGTTTTTTATTTCAGAACTGCTTAGAACTACTCAAAATGCAGTAGAAAGACCAGAATAATAGGAAATGGAAGAGGATCCGAAAACGGAAACCACAAATAGAACGGGTTGTGAACTTCAGGATGTACTTAATGTAAAAGTGATACGATTGAAAAAACTGGAAAACCGTAATTTCTATCGGATGTTTTCTAGAAGTCCTTTCGGAAAGTTCTGGGATTTCATAAATGTACTTTTCTACTTTTATATGAATAAGATATAGAATAATCTAAATACTGTGCTTCCTGAAGTTTTTCATGTATATGTAAAAAAATGTTCATTGTTTCAGTTGTTTGTTCAGTGTTACGGTTTGTTTGCAGTGAATCAGTTTCGAGCAAAAATGTCGAGAGAAAAAGTTGTTTACCGCGTTTTTTCTAGGGGTGGGACAGTTCCAGTTCTCATTGTTCCTATTAACTGGTAAAAAGAACTGGTGACCAGTTACCGTTCCTAATAACTGGAACTGGTGACCAGTTACCGTTCCTAGTAACTGGAACTAGTGACCAGTTACCGTTTTCTTCACAATCAAGATGGAGAAAAGTTTTAACT